AAAAAAAAAAAAAAAAAAAAAAAACTTTGGTGCCTCGTTCCACTGCCTAACATTCTAAACGTACCTGAACTCATGAAGGTCCCAATACACTGAAAATGTTGGATCAATCGGAATGTACAGGAACAGCAAAACAGTCCAGATACATGAATGTAGAATGTTCTGAAGTGGACCGAGGCCCATTGCCATTATACCGTAGCATGTGCATAACAGGAAGAGAACACGGCCATGGTCCTCTCGGCGGCGGCGGCGAGATGGCCACGTGTCATCTTCTGCGTCGACAAGATAGCCACGTGTCAGGCCACGTGTTTGGCGTCCATCTAAGCACACACCCTAGAGAGTGAGCAAGAACTACGGTCACCCGTCTTCACCCGTACGGTCCTTATACTGCTGCATCTAGACTCAAAGTTGCACCAAGTACACTGTCATCAGCTATAATGACCGTTACCTTGTCTTCTTCGGATGAAGACCGGTCAGCCTTGCAATCAGCCACCCTCATTGCCCAGCCATAGCCTCCAGTCACCCACGTGACAGATACAAACCTTCATGGTGGCATCTCTCTCTCTCTCTCTCTCTCTCTCTCTCTCTCTCTCTCTCTCTCTCTCTCTCTCTCTCTCTCTCTCCGTGTATGTGTGTGCCGTCAGAGGCCGCTCGGAAGCCAGACTGTGTGCGGTAATTTTCTTGAGCTCCCTGATGAGTAGGTAGGTGAAACTCAGACGAAAAAGAAAAAAAAAGACAGACGAAAAAAAAAAAAAGGTTGGGCTATGGTTTAGCGGGGGCAAGGTCCCGCTTGCACGAATTACGAGATACTGACCGTAGATATAGCAAAGATCAACGGCCGAAATCTCCTAATCCGTGCAAGTGGGACCTTGCCCCCGGGCAGCTATGTTTGACGATAAAAAATATATAAACGGGCTGTGAAATAGCTCTCAGTTCGAATCCAAATGGAACCAGATGAACGAAATTAGTATTAAAAAAAAAAAAAAAAAAAAGGTAATTGGCAAATTGCATCATAAGCGACGTTGTTGCATTCACGAAAAGAGAAACTTGAAAAAAAAAATATCAAAAAAATCCACTAGTTGAACTGTGTCCCTGGCCGGGTGTGCAGATTGATGACAGTCATTTTGCGCGGGCTTTTCTGCGACTGCAGTAACCCAACTTATTGTTCGGGCGCGAAGCACACGGCTTTGCGGGTGTTCAGGCACAGACAATGTGCACGTGCAAGACTGAAAAAAAGAGAGAGCGATACAGTGTGTGAAGCAGCGAGGCAAATCGTTCAAGCTTGAGAGAGAGGCGGGAAGAGAAGACAGCGAGAAAGGTGGAGATGCCGGGAAGACACGCCGAGAGAGGGAGAGAGATAGGTAGGTAGGTAGATAGGTAGGTAGGTAGATAGGTAGGTAGGTAGGTAGGTAGGTAGGTAGAGAGAGAGAGAGAGAGAGAGAGAGAGAGAGAGAGAGAGAGAGAGAGAGAGAGAGAGAGAG